GCTGGAGGGAAGGCAAGATTTACGGGGCCCTGCAGTAAGGGCAAAGATGTCCTAGCCTAGTGCTTAGGACACTCACCTGGGAGAATCCTGGGTTCCCATCACTGCTGCTGGGATACTTCCTGTAGTTTGTCTTAGGCCCCTGGCAGACATTACACTTCAAGCGTGATTCACCAGTTAATCATATCTTAAAGTGCAACTTGGCCACACATTTGGGCAATTAATGGTGCAGTAACACAAGAAATAAGCCACAAAATTATTGCACAGAAAATGTATAATCATTTTGTAGCTGTTTTCTATCTTGCCCTAAATTGAACTGGGTGGCTGGGTGGACTGGTCAACGATTAGCTCACTGTCTGCTGGCCCTGGGACCTCATGGGGTCTTGAATTATTCCCCGTGTGATCCCAGCCAGATGATGATCAGCTGATTGTTGGCTGGCTCCAGGGACCCACTGGCACCCATGTTCCCAGGCTGCCCCTGCACCAGCAAGCAGGGTGTGATTTAAAGTGATTTAAAATAGACATAAAAGTGCACGTCCTGCCATGCACGTGCGGCATGGTGCGATAATTGGGATCATGCCTTTCAGTGAACACCTGGAGTGCCTCAGCTTCATGCAAGCCCCACTTCAGATGCCAGAGTCCTTTACTGGCTCTATTTTTGAGTGTGTTGGTGCCGTTCTCTGCTTCCACCACCTATATCTGCCTCTCGTGACTGTTGTAAGAGCTGTGCAATCTTAGGAAACCTGCCTGCTGCAGCTGATAAGCCTTGGGGGTGCATTTATTTGTAGGCATAGAGGAGGTTTCTGCACATGTTAATGCGTGATAATCAGTGTCAGCTTGCCAGGAGAGGGAGCAGACAGCGCATCCCTTAGCTTTCCCCCATGATGATATATGTATTGTTCTTTAACCCAGTGGTGAGTAGGAGGCTGGAAGGGAAGCAGGGGAGGTGGTGGGCAGAAGCTGTGCACCAGAGCTCAGGCAGAAATAGAATAAGGAGAACGCTGATTGCCTTGCTCCATGCAAGAAGAAAGAGACTTTTTCTATGATTGTTGTTTCTACAAGCAACAGCTGTAGCAGGATGAATTTTTGGGAACCTGACCCGGTCTCTGTAGTCTACAGATATATTTGTATTCTGGTGGCTGAAAGGGTTTTAGTTAATACCAGGCTGGCCAGAGGTTGTGATAGTTGTTGGAACATGCTCAAAGGAACAGAAATGAAGGTGTAAAACACGGGGGGATTTATGGAGCAAGGAATAAAATAATAAAAAGGAAAGAAGGGTAAAGGTTAACAATACCAAAGTGAACAAGTAACACCAATGCACAGAATACGTTACCAAATGCTGTCTCTTTACCTGGCAGGAGAGATGCCATGACGATGGTTTCGACCCAGGTGGTTCTGCTGACCTGGCCGGGGAGACTCCCTTCTTCTTGGCCTTGGTTGGCTTGGTGTAGTCGAGGGTGGAGACCTATCCACTGCATTGCAGGCAGCCCCCTTGTCAGAGTCTACTATAGCCTCCCAATGCCAGGATCTCAGCTACACAATTTATGGTGGGGGTTGCTCTTGAGCTTTCCCTCTACCTTGCTCCTTTGGTCTTTTGGCTAAGGGCATGTGAGAGTAGGGGGCATCCTAACCCCAAGTCCTCTGGGCTTGTATGTAGGATGCCTGTCTTGGGTTCGGGTGTATCTGAAGCCCCGGGCTGAAGAGTCTTGGAGGTAAGATACTTGTTGGTGGTAGCATTATGCAGACTTGAAGGACTGAAGTTCAAGTGATAGAATTCAGAACTTTTGGGGCTAATTTGGCATGAGATTAAAAATAAAAAAAATACCAAGAGCTTTGATTATCATGGTTGTGTTTAAAGGTGCAAACAGAACTGCCCCACATAACCAGCCTAATGCATGTGGAGGTTGAATAGATATCAGGCTGGGGTGTTGTGATCCCAGCACTCGTTCCTGCCATGGCAGGGGGTCAGGCTTGATCTGTTCAGGTCCCTTCTGACCCTAGAAACTATGGAAGAAACTTAATCAATGAGGTAAATGGCTAAATTTCCAGATGGGCTGGGGGGGGGGCTGCGCATGCCAGATGGTGGAACTGAACGGTGTTCGTTCTGCTGTTGAGTGCAATTCTGGAGCTGTGGGTGTGTATCGATTTACAATGATATTTAACAATTAAGAGATGCTACTGTCAAACCAAGCATATCCCTATAGAGTTAGCAACAGAAGTGTCCACAGGGATAGTCAGTTGGTGTCGACAAGGCTCTTGCGGAAAGACGAGAGAGAGTGATTTGTTGTTCCTCTCCAGGTTGTGATTAAATAGAGGAATTCAGGGCAACGCAGCTTGTTAGCAATAGGTGCAGCTCCTGCTTCGACGAGCAGCTTTGGATGTGCGGGTGTGGGGTAGGGTCCGAGCAGAAAGGAGTGGAGCAGTAGCAGGACACAGGGCTGTGTTTCCTCTAGTTCTGTAAACACAGGTGCTTCCTAGCTAGAAATCCTTTTACCATGCCGCAGCTCTGATGCTCCTTCATCTTGGGTGTCTGGAAAAAAAGAGAAAAGGCCAGGTAACTTGTGTGCTGGATTGCTAGTCTATGAAACCTTCCAGACAGAAAATATCGACCATCCTTTCAGTGGCTTCAGAAACACTGTGTTGGCCATACCAGATGCTGGGGAGTCAGGACTGGTGCTTTATCCAAAGTAAAATAGACAAAAGCGGCAGCTCACTTACTAGTAGTCAATTTTGCAGTTTAGTACTTGGGCAGTTAGGGAGGTCTGTCCTGACCAAGTAGACAATTAGCTTATGGCCAGAAGCCTGAGATCCTATTTTCCTTATCTCAGCTTGCAGATGCTATTGTGGCAGCAGCCAAAATGAGGAAGGGATGAGGTTTAAAATGACTTTCTATTAAACTTTACTATCCATTAGCTTGGAAGGAGAAAGTGCTGTAACACTCTCTATGTGCGCCAGGGGAAGAAACATCCAAATGGAAACCGACTCATTGAGGTTCCTGACAAATAGAGCGGGTTGAATTATTCCTTCAGATACCTTGTATCAGAGAATTGAACTTCCTTTTCTTCAATTTGAAAATTATTGCTGTTTAATACATTTGTCATCCCTGCGTATTTGTGGGATGCAGCATGCGAACAAATTGCAGCTCAGGTGGTGGTTACAAATTATTCATTAGGGCAACTTTTGATTTATTTATTGTGTGGGATTGGCCAGTGAAGTCAAACAGTGTGGTTTCTGCTTCCTGAATAGCTGACTGCAGCTTTTTAAGTGGAATGAAAAATGATGACAAATGACCAGTGTACCCAGGGACAAATTTCCGCCTGCTACATTTCATGAAACTTTAAAAACCCGTGACCATTCAGATAATAAAACAGTCAATTACATGAGTTTCCAAGTAACAGCAAACCAGACAGAACATGTCTTGTGTTGTCTGTTCAGCTGTGTGAACAAAATAATTCTTTTATTCCCTAATTAAAATCGTTATACTTCTTTAGGAATAGTCGTTTGCTCTCTACAGTACGGGGGATGCCCACGGGGAGTTGGCCAGAATGCAAAAGATGTGTAGAGTCTAGGGAAGGAGGAAGGAAAATTAAAAAAAAATATAAATAAAAAAGGCACACAACAGCAATCATCAATGAAGTGTCAGCTCTTTTATATGTCTACAAAGTTGTGGAAATGCTAATTCAGAATCGCTTTTGTTAGTTCAAAAGCAGTTGCTTTTGTTCAAGGAGTTCCTGAGCTAACAAAATTGAGCCTGAATTAGCATTTTCACAAGTTGTAGAGATATAAAGAGCTGACACTAGATGCTCTCGTAGCTTGCTTTGTACTCCGTAAGACCATTTCCATTTCATATTGTTATGCTTTCTGTTTATGTGCAAACTGCTTATTACCCAAAGTAGGTATCCAGACAAGGAAATTTTCACTCGGTAACCTTTACCATTTGTAACAATGTCACACTTCACTGGCTGTGAGCATATAAATACATGAGACGAGATAGGAGGATGCTGTAGCATGTCCTGATTTCACTCCAGGATGCGCCCAGCCTGAGACGCTCTACAATCAGTTGCAAGAGTACAGGAAAAGAAAGGTACTCGAAGTACTTTCTGCTGTGGGAAGGAATGGAGGGCAACACAGCAGAAATGTCATATTTCAATACTGTCTTCCACTGTGCATGTGTTCAGCATGAATATTTGCTTATAACATTTCCAACCGGTCTTGTTCTTGTGAGACTTCCCGGTTGGAGACAATATATATATAATTTGAGATTACGTAAGGAGCATTTGTATTGAGTGCTTTAGAAGTTATACATATGTAAAGAGCTTCATGGCTGACTTTTAAATGGGTATGATGCTTTTCTTCCAAGAAAGAAGCATCATACCATGATGCTTGTGTGAATAGCCTTTGCCTCTTGGGCACTGATTGCAGTGGAGGGCAGAGACCAAGTTATTGAGAGGAGAGAACATAATGCATGAATCTAAGGGCGGACTTCAGGCATGCCTTGCCTTTTCCCCATATAGCGCGCTTCCCCAGAGTTGCTCTACAAGGCTATTTCCGTCTTCCGCCAGATGTGAGATGAGGCTTCTGATTACTTTTACTGATATTAGATCAATAGCTGCATTTCTGTATCTGCAGGCACTGTGGTATGACAGTTGAGACAGGGAATATACTTAGACAGAGAGAGAGGTAGCAAACACTGAGCAGCATTGAAGTGGTATATGTACCTGTCTCTCCCCGTCTGATTTATAGATGGTGTCTATTCCTTGCTCACCTGGCAAGAGTGATGAAGACTTGAGCAGCAGATGTTGCAGTAATGATGCTGATTAACTCTTCAAGCATTTCAACCATGTCCTTAACTACATGGATTTGAGTAGTCACAGCAACTTCACTGGAGCTGGTTGTAGATGTAGAGTTGAGTGTGCACAAAACGTGTTTTTCCAGGTCGTGGTTAAAACTGGTCAGAGCTATGTTTTCTTAGACTGACTTTTGGCTTCTCTCTGTGTTTCTAGCCTTAAAAAAAGGTCGGTTTTGGATCACGCCAGACCCATATCACAAAGACGACAACATCCAGATTGGGCGCGAGGTGAAAATCTCTTGCCAGGTGGAAGCTGTTCCTTCGGAAGAGCTCACGTTTAGTTGGTTTAAAAATGGACGCCCTTTGCGAAGCTCAGAGAGGATGGTCATTACCCAGACAGATCCAGACGTGTCCCCTGGCACCACCAACCTGGATATCATCGACTTGAAATTCACGGACTTTGGGACCTACACTTGTGTGGCATCCTTGAAAGGAGGCGGCATATCTGATATCAGCATTGATGTGAATATATCCAGCAGTACAGGTAAGGTGGTTTCCTTCACCATCAGCTTAACTAGTTAAAGGCTGAATTGTGGGGGGAAGGGCATGAATGCCAAGATCTACCCCATAAATTAGGCAACTGCTTCAGTCCCAGACAGAGTGCTGAGCTCTTTATGGATGAAAGGTAGATGCAAGTCTGGATAGATGGCAGGTGATACGGCCCTCCACTGCTTGTATCCAGTCGTCAAGTGTGGGAAGGCAGCCCTTTCTAATGGGTATGTTGTGAATGGTCACGGTCATGCTGTTCCTGGGAAGCAATGCCTTAAGTGTGAATTTTGGCCAGTATATATTTACATATTCATGTCTGCAAGGAAGTGCATATCTTTGTTGATGGAGGTAAAGTTTTCCTGTTCTCTTGGCTAAGAATGCATCCTTAGGGTGGTGCGTGCAAAAAATGGCAGTATAAATGACCGGTGTTTGCTTACCTCTTTGGTGGGCAGTTTCTCATTGATTTGAGCCTGCACGCACAAATGTAGCGTTGTCTTGCAGTTGCTGCTTATTTTCCCTTGGGGCTGTCAATAGTGGCTGGTGTGATCCCAACGGCTGTTGTAATCACAGAGCAACTGTAGGCACTAGGTTACTGCACAGCGGTTCTCGTAGGGGCAGTGACTTTGTGTTTGGGCAGTTTATAAATCATAATGTTCTGTTTGTATTTTTTTTTTGTTTATTTTCCCAGTTGTGGCAAATCAAGTATTAATTGTACAGAACTGGCAATCTCATTTCTGCCCTGGGTCTGAGACTACAGGGGATTCTCAGCGTCCCTTCAACCAGGCTCAGCTGGGCACCACTATGCATTTTTATAAGCCAGAAAATGTGTTTTGCAAAAAAAAAAAAAAAAAAAAAACAGACTTCTTTGTGCCAGGATAAATTAGAAGTGGGGGGGGTGTGTTGTGGGGGGAGGGGGAGAAAGAGTCAGGGTAGATAGCATTGCTTGTCACTTTTCATAACAAAGGCACGTTTCATTTCCAGAACAAAAAAATCCTGTTGAAGCACAGAAGCAAAGAATTCCAATATTAGGCTCGTTATAGTTTCTGCCTTTGGTATGATGCTTGGCATGACACATTTCCTTAGACTGTGCTAGCCAGCTATTCACTGATCTACAGTGTGCAGTGCTTGTCAGTGGAAGTACAACAGCAAAGAACACACAGGCTGGACCAATTTTTCTAGCCGAGCAAGTAAGTGTTGCTGAATAAATGCTTTCTGACCCTTTTCCCTGCAAGCACATGCTCATACATGCAGCCCAGCTTTTATAAGCAGCGTTTAAATCATCAGTTCATCTTCAAGAAGAAGGTCCCCATTTCCTGAGTCTCCTATTTTCCTATTCAATAGCACTGTGCACTTAAATATCACCTTCTGTTCAACACGATGTGAAAACTCTCTCATGCCAACTATTTTCCCAGTTGCCTGACTCCTCCTTCATACTTTGAGCTACAAACCTTCCCCTTGTCCTCAGTAGCACTTCATGGGTACAAATAGGAGTTGCCTGCCGTGTGTATAATTGGTAATAAAAGAGAGGGACTATGCAGGTTTTCCAGAAGGAAATAGGTATTTCAGGGCTGGTGCAAGCATGCGGCTGCAGAATCTAGTGTTGTGTGTTGGTCCCTCTGGCATCTGGCAGCATGTACAGACATTCACTCTCCCAGGAGAAACTCTCTTGGGAGTGACTTGACCCTGATTGCTCCCAGTTTATTTTTCTCTTGGAGCAGCCATTTTTATTCTGGGAGAAAAATTCTGAACATCTGTCCACTCATGCTTTCTCTTGAGACAGTAGTGTCTCCCCTGGGAGAACTGAATGTCTGTACAAGGTCGGAAGGACTGGAAGGGCCTGTGGCTGTAGAGAAGTAGCCTTGTGGGTCTGGAAGTAGCCTCATGAGTCTGAGGCCTTCCAGAGTCTAGTTCTGGCTAATGTCACTGCTCCTCACTGAGGAAGTGGATCTGGAAAGTGGAGAGGAGGTCACTGGTCTAGTCTCCATAACCGTATGCATTGCCAACACATGCTTTTCTGACATCATACACTGTTGTTTTAGGCAAAAGATTGTAGCCACCTATAAGTGCAGGTGGAAGTCATGGCACCCCAACATTTAATTCAGTGTGTGCCCACAGGCAAGCCCATTTGATCTCTAAATAATGTGATTTGTGTCTGCACCACAGCAAGAGTTCCCTTTTAGAGTGCGAACCTGATAAATCAGCTTTTCATGGCCAGAGAAGCCTGGTTAGTTCCCAAATCATGTCTGGGGGCTAAATTACTTCAGAAATGTTAGTGGTGGCCTGGCCCATTGAAAGATCAAGTGTATTGTGAGTAAAAGGAGGGATGGACCAGAGGTGTGTGGGTGAGAGCTGGGAACCCTGACTTCATAGATGGATGTGGTTGGAATGGACTGCAAGGCTCAGCTATTCCCTCCCATGCCCAAAGACAGGATGCACTAATCCTGAACCATCCCAGAGAGATTCCTATCTGGCGTCTTCTTGAAAACCTTCAGGGTAGGAGATGCCACGTCTTCCCTGGGCAGCTTGGTCCATTGCCCTGTGCTCTTCCAGATAGGAAGTTTCTTCTTCAGATTTCATCTAAATCTGCTTTGCTCCAAGCTGGCTATTTTGGGGGAGTGTCATGGCCCAGCTCTGACCCTCTCTGTAGGGCTTGGAATTTTGGCAACAGGGAGGTGTGACAGTATTAACTACCACTGCTTCCCCACTGCATAATTTCCCAACATGTGGGGAACCCTTCACGCCAGATTCCAAGGCCCCTCAGGCCG